CATTTTGGGAGGCCAGACCAACTGAACCTTCAGATGAGACAGCAGCCCGAACCACCATCCAACTGCAACCACAAGTTAGCCGCCTGTGAGATATGCCCAGCAGAGCCTTGCTTGGATTCTTAATTGACAAATTTGTGAGCAAAACAAAACGGCTGGCTGTTAGTTTACACAACTAAGTTCTTGGGTTGATATGCAGCGAAAGTAATCAGAATAATTATGCGTTGTGGGCTGTCATGCTGGGAGGGGACTATGTGAAGGAGACTGGAAGAGGAGAAACCTGGACCAGACATCCCTGAACTGGCTTGTAAATCAGAATCTCTTGTGGGAGTCTGTAGAGTCTTCAGTGCGCCCAAGAATGTTTATTTTTTTAAATGAATCTCCTATAAAAATGTTAAACTATTTTTATAACAATAGTGATAGATGCACAGTACAAAATTTCTTTCCCCCCACCTTGGCACTACTCCCTGTTATTTTTTCAAAATTTTCCTGCATATTTTTTTCTCTGGGTTGACATTCAGAGATCATTCTGTCATGTTCCCCCCAAAATCCTTTCAGTGTTTTCACTGAGATCACATAAAATATATAGGTTAATTTACGGAGAAATCAAATCTTTTCAATACTCTTCTTATCCAAGAACACAGTACAGATGCTCCAATTTACGATGGGATTATGTGATGAGAAACCCATTGTAAATTGAAAATATTGTAAGTTGAAAATGCATTTGATACACCTGACCTAGCAAACACCATAGCTTAGCCTAGCCTACCTTAAACGTGCTCAGGACACTTACATTAGCCCACAGTTGGGCAAACTCATCTCACACAAAGCCTGTTTTATAATACAGTGTTGAATATCTCATACAATTTATTGAATACTGTGCTGAAAGTGAAAAGCAGGGTGGTGGTTGTGCGGGAGCTCGTGTATGGTTAAGCCCAACCATGGTTAAGTCAGGGACCATCTGTATGTCCTTCTGTTGTTTCCAAGTGTCCCATATGTCCTCTGGCAGGGCTCTACCTCTTCTGTCATGTACATCTCACCTATTTCTGGCAAAATTTATTGCAGGCATTTTATCTTTGTTATTATAAACGGGATCTTCTACTACTTCTAGCTAATTTTTAATTTATATTTTCACATTGGAAACCTATTTTTTTAAAATACTAATTTTGTAATCAACCACTTCCTGAATTATCTTATTTCTGATAGTTTTTCAGTTGATTCTCTTTTGTGTTCCAGACTCGTATCATCTGAGAAGAATCTGGCCTCCCACTTTCCAAACTGTGTTCATTTCCTTCACTTGCTAATTGCATTGACTGGTGCTTCCAAAATAACGTGAAATCCTGATACCGGGGGAGTCCGTGTTTGGTTCCCAGTTTGGGAAATTCACGCCAGTGGAATCTGATACAAGAGATCCACAGATCAGCATTTCGGGTAGCACTGACATGTGATAGAACCTTCATCAGTATATTTCTTCACTCAGGCCTTGAAACGTATCGCTTATTTCCAGGATCCCAGCAGAACAAGAGGTCAGTAACATTTCCTCAGATTCTAGAAGCCAGGCTGGACCTCCTTGTGATCAACAGAGAGGTGTGTCCCAGTAGCAGCAATTCCTTCTACATTCTTCTATCATAGCCCCAATCACTTTGTACTTGGGCTGTTTAAGATTGACCTCTCTTACCAAGAGCTGTCATTATCTCTCTATCCTGCGCTTGGCACATAGATTTGCACATGAAATATACTCCTCGTCACTTGTCACTCAGAGGACAGCCTGGGCTGTTAGGGATTAGTATCAAGCCTTCCCCTCTCACCTGTCCGGAGTGGTGTTCAGGCAGCAAAAACGGGCTCAGTCTCCACTGCAGATGCTACTAAGTGGGTAAGATTATTAAATGATCCGGGTCTTCTTTCCTCCCACTCCAAGTCACGGCAGCAGGGCAGTTTTCAAGGAAAGATTAAACCAAGCCAGAGGTGGTTGAAAATGTATTTATTTTTCTTCAAATGATCTTTTTCAAGCAATAAATAAAAACAGACATGTTGACTTTTCTAGAAAACCAAACCGAACCAAAAAAAAAACCCCTAAACTATATACATCCTACAGAAATACAGGCATATCAAATGTAGAAATGACAACACTCTGAAAGATGGGGCTATTTACATGAGTGACAAGGATTGATTGCATTGCTGTCTTTAAGAAGTCTCTTCCTTGAATGACTGGTAAACTCTAAGGAAGGGCAGGGTCTTGGGGGGAGGGAGAGAGCCTTCGAAGAGGAGACCCCCTCCATCTTTATGGATGGACAAGACAGCTTCAGGGAAAAACATCAACATCCACACACTGCTGAGTCCCCTCACAACTACCCACTAATCAGCTGGCTTTACAAGGAGCCTGGGAGGACACCCCATTGAGGAACTCCCAGGAGAAACCACCTTGTCCCTCAGCAGGGCTGGGAGTGGCAGTGAGACCAGCTGAGCCAGTGACGAAGCCCTGGCTGTAGTTGTTTCAAGACAAGCTATCTCCGAGTTATCACACCTGGCCTCCAACAGCACCTTGGCAGCTGGAAAGCAAGGTGGTTTCCCAAACATGGCTGTGCATGGAAAGCACCCGGGGAGCATTGAAACACAACGATGGCCGAGTCCCACCCACACACCTGCTGGTTTAATTGGTCTAGGCTAGCCTGGCCAGCAGGACCTTTAAAGCTCCCCAAGTGACCCTAAAGCTGAGTCATGGCTTTACCACCACAGGCTTGGTGGCCAACTCCCAATCTCCATCCCTTTCCCCGTCGGACTTGAATCTGTTTGTACATCCTACTCCCCTTTCCCCACCTTCCCAAGGACTGAACAATTTTTCTCAGGGCTTCCCAAACTTGAAAACTCTCAGGAATCCAGCTGGAATGAGGAACTGAGCAAAACATCCTCAGGAGGGAAGGCCTAAAGCTGGAACCTGCCGCCCCCCACCCCACGCCTAATACTGCTGGGCGGGAAAGCTTGGTCCGTCTCCCCCAGGGCTCCTGTGCAACACCCCTTGGGTCAGACGAGATTCTGGGAAGGAGTCGGCAGCATTCCTCCTTCTCCGTAGAAAAATCCAGTAAGCATCTTGCCTTTTGTGGCCAACAGCAAAGCTGATGATCAGTGAGAGGGTCAATTACAGAAATTTCCCATCACCACAAATCACCTCCTGGGAAGGGTGATGCCCATAGAAACTCATGGACCATCTGGGCTGACCCTGTGCTGGTGCCTTCATCAGAGCTAATCCTAAGTCATCCAAGAGGCTTCTGATGGGAGAATAACAATAAAAAAATCCCCCTCTTCCAATCAAGCCAATGTCCTATTTTATTTCTAGGTTTTGGGACTCACCCTGTCATCAAGGACAAAGGAAATGGCTTTATAAATAGCTGTTTGACACGGTGATAGAGGACTGGAATCGGAAAGTGGGGAAAGGATGTATCTGGAGTGAGTCCTGAGTTCCGACTGTGTGGCTGGAATCCAGTCCGGGAAAGCAGGACAGTTTTGGCAAATGTACACTCATTCTATAAAAAGCGAATCTGTTCTGCAGCCCACCTTCCCTCCCCGCCCAAGCTGCCCCTTCGTTCACGCCCACCTGCTGCTGGAACCTGGGGCTTTTTCAGCTGCAGAACCCACCTGACTTCCAGGACTCAAGGAAAAAGCAGGAATGTCCAACTGTGCTGCCTCTAAATGGGTTCATTGTCTGGGAACCCAACCCCTCCATGCCTCACCCTTAAACCATTCAGCCGAGCAGATCCCAGAGGAAGCAGGCAGCCTCTGGCTTTTCCAAAAGCAGGCTGCAGGAAACTCTGGCCTCACCTCAGCGCAGGGTCTGACAAAGTCAGGACCCATCGTGCCGACACAAGGTCATGGTTCATGGAAGGAAAGGTAACCAACCCGGTCCTGTCTGGGATGCTGGATGAGAAAGAGCATCTCAACACGACTGTGACACTGAGGCTTGGCGTTATTTATGGGTGAGCAAGAATGTCTGTTGAGATCTACACTCTCAAAGGGCTTTAAAAAACAAAAAAACGCTCTCCTTTCTAGACAAGTTTGCAATCACCTCTACTCTGGCACTCCATGACAACACTGTTCCACAATACTACAAATAGAATAACATGTAGCTTGTTCCCTCCTCCCTCTCCCAGCCCTCCCCCCAGAAAACACATCTTCTTCTTTCCAAAGTCATTCCTCCATCTGGAAAGGCCCAAGGAAGAATTCAAAATGGCAATTGCGTGCCCACGATGCTGAAATGTGGGGTCTACTCCCCTTTTCTTATTCAAAAGAGGGCCTTCAGAAATAGTCACCTAAGCAGAAATTTTCAGAATGCAAGAATTGGTTGGCATATTCATCTCAGAGAAACCCCCTAAAACCAAAACCTTTGATTTATTTAAAAGAGAAAAGACGGTGCATTAACTGACAAAAGGATTCATTTCGGGGATACCTCTAGTTATCTGGTTTCCCCCAGAGCCTTGCCAAGGGATTTGCTGTAGGAAAATCTGAACAGAAGCCGACTTTCCAGGGGCACCTTATTAAGATACGGCATTTATCTCGGATAACAGACAAGTCTCAGGTGTATGAAAAGGATGCTCCAACCACCAAACGGACCATGGGAGAGAAAAGGTTGCCCTGTTGTGGTCTAAGATTCCATCGGTGGAATTCCATCGGTTGCTGTGCCCAGCAACCAGCTTCAAAATTACATAGTTAGTTCTTTCTTTCTCCTCCCACTCATCCTGCCTGCTTTCCAGTGGCGACAAATGCAAGTTGATTATCATGCTACCTCGCACACACCTACACGACAACGCTGACGTCCTAACTGCTTTGACATCTGCATGCTGCTGTGCTGCGCTGTTGGACATCAACATAAATACAGCCTAAGTTCACGGTCACTAGACTCCTTGTACTTACATACTCTGAAGAAATTCTTAATAAATACTTTTATTTATTATTAAGCATAATTATTCACCCGTTGGTGACTCAGAAATGAAAACCATGTCCTCGGAAGATTTCTTTTACAAAAACAAAATTCCCGAAACTACAACAAATGACAACGACGATGACAACAAAAGGGACAAGCACACAGAACCAGGCACTTCTGGCAAACTTGTTTTCTCCGTTATCTTCTCCCTCCCCCCCTCCCTCCCCCCTTTAATAAAACTGGTTGGGCACATTTGCCAGGATCTGTGAGTTTCCTAAACTTCAAGCCTTACTGCTTAAAAAAATGAGGTAAGAAATTTCTATCTGAAAAGTAAAACTGACACATAAACCAAACCAAGGTCTTCCCTGGCCACTGGGACGGCCGTTATTGCTCTAGGTTGGAGTGTTTTGTTTTGTTTGCTGTTTATATGGAGTCAGAGTCCTTATTGCCATCTGGATGGCCCCGTGGTCAGCCAAGGAGAAATGCACAGGGAAGGAGCTTGGTCACCTGCCCCCAGCTGGTCAGTGTCCACCGGCTGCCCGCACGCAGCCGCCCCCCCCCGCGGGGAGCCACCTCTGGCTTTGGGGATCCCGGGGCGGCTCTAACAGCTGGGGGAGGTGGTGATGGGGCTGTGCAGGTAGGGCAGGCTGCTGGGGGCCGAGTGCACGCCCACGGAGACCGGGAAGCTGAAGACAAACTGCGACGTGGGGGTCGGGGTGGCCTTGCCGCGCTCCCGCAGGGGGCCCGAGGGGCTGGCGGCCTCCGCGGCACAGGACGTGGCCAGCACCTGGGACTCGAACTGCAGCAGCTGCCCCATGAAGCTGAAGTTGGGCGAGATGATGCTGCGGCGCTGCTTCACGAACTCGAAGGCCTCCTCCAGCCGCACCCGCTTCTTCATCATCAGGTAGGCCAGGCAGATGGTGGCCGAGCGCGAGATGCCCGCCTGGCAGTGCACCAGCACGCGCCCGCGGCAGTCCTTCACCGCATCTGGGGCAGAGAGCGCGACACGGTCAGGGCGCCCTGTGCAGTCCTCCGTCCCTCGCCAGGTGACGCCAGCCAGCTCGGGGATGGGGGTGTGGGGGGCGCTCCCACTGAGGGGCTAGCCATGCTAGGCTGGGGCGGGAGCAAGAACAACCCGCATGGGAGGGACTCTAGAATTCTACTCCTTCTGGGGTCTTGCAGTTAAATCCCATCCTACCTTAAAGGCTTTCCATTTGCAGAAGCAAAACAATGACCCAATTCTCCCTTTGTCTTCCTGCCCATCCAAAAAATCTCACCATCGGGAGCCAGGCAACTAAGCATGGGTGTAGGGGTCACCTTCCCATTCCCGTCCAACCCAACATCCCACAGGGGAGCCTTCGACTGAGGAAGAGGGTGCAGAGCCTCCTGAGTCCCCGCTTCAACACAGAGTCACAGGTGGTTCCCTCCCCTCCGCCCCACTGGCCCTGGGACCCAGGAGCCCAAGGCCAGGGCCAGCCTACCGATGTACTCGATGGCTTCCATGAACCAGGAGCTGATGTCCGCCTTGTGGTTGTCTTCCACGGGGATGCACTTGTACTGATAGTGTCCTTCAAAGTGGTTTGGGCAGTCCGAGGAGACGTTCAACAGGGCCGTGATGCCCAGGGCGTCCAGCATGTCTCTCCGGGCAGCATGGTAGGCACTGCCGAGGTAGAGGAAGGGAAGGATCTCCACAGGACCGCCCTGCACCGGAAAGGGGAAACAAACGCACCCCAAACAACATGAGCCTAAGGCAACCCGGCAAAGGGCTGAGGTGCTGGGGACAGGGAGGGGAAGGCCTGTCCGAGGGGGACTTCTAGGCCCTGGGAGAACACCTGCTGGGCACAGCCCTCCCAGGCTCGCCCTTGTCCTCCTGGAAGGGGCGATGGGCACAGTGGGACTTCTTGAGCCTTCGCCCTCTGCTCGTGGGCAGAGAAGCCAGGGCGGGGAAAACCCTTGTGGGCGCCCCCCCCCCCGCAGGCCTCAGCAACCCACTTCCCCGGGGTAGAGGAAACAGCAGGACAATGTCTGTGATGTGAGGAGTTCACACTCGCTGACCATCAAGCCACTATTGTGCAGTTCAGGCATGGATTTGGTTGGATGCACCTTCATTTGGCTCCTTAAAAACAGGCGCCATCTTCTTGGCACAGTGAGGCAATAGTGACTTTAATTTAAGACCAGCTATTGGGGGGAGCAGAGCGCCCCCTACTGAAAGCGCTGGAGGGGGTGGGCTTGTGAGAAACGCAGTGGCTCAAGTGGGTTTTCTCAGCAGGAGGTGGTGCTATCTATCGCTGTGGGCATCACAACTGGCTGGGGTCCAGGGGTGCATTCGCTGGCCTGCTCCTTCAAAAAAGGTGTCCTCAGCTTCCTGCACCGTCGGCACAAACCGGCTAAAAAGGCTAAACCGGGGAGTGCTGTCTTTACATTTCCGTCTTAAGGGAGGGTTAGGAGGGAGGAAAGGGAAGAACACCCCATCCTAATACTCAGGGCTACCACACTGCCCCCAAACTGAGGCCTTGCACATTCAAAGCCTTAAAAACCCCTCCGAACTCTGAAAAGGGGCCCCCTCACCCCGGGGCGCTGCACCGGAGTCTACCTGGTCGTGCAGGGGGGTCCCACAGGAGCCGCAGCCCAGGTCCAAGGACTCTGTGGCGCTGGGGGGCACCGGGGGTGGGAGGGCTGCCAAGGCCTTGGTCTTGGAACAGAATTCCGGGTACTCGGAGGAAAACCTCTCGTAGCCGCCTGTCAACAGGAAAGAAGTTCCGGTTAATGGGGTCCCTAAGGCAGGGGAAGGAACTTGACCCGCAACCAGACCCCAGAGAGCGGCAGGGAGGGCGCGGGCGGGTGGGCGCCGCGCTGGCCACTGGGTGGCGCTGCGGGCCCGGAGATGACGGCCGCGGAGCCGCCGGCCAGGTGGAGAGCCGAGTTCGTGCAGTCAGGACGCTGGGACCTCCGGGAGGCTCGTGCACGAGACTCAGATGAAGACACACACAGCAATCAGTGTGCAGGGGGTGGGCAGAGGGACTCTCCAGAGCAGCTCCATGGAGCAGGGAACAGCCACTGTGGGCCTCCGTCTTCCGCCCCCAATTCCAGCCCTCCCTTTGGGGGGAGGGTTCTCCGATGTGGGGAAGGAGGTAAAAAAAAAAAAAAAAGAGAGAGAGACCCTGGCATCAGCCCTTCTGGATGTCAGCAACAGGAACAGATGCCGGTTGCATGGCCTCATGAACAGCTGTTCCATCGACAAGGGGCCAAAACAAGAGGAAACGGGCTTAAATCTAAACAAATCCCTCTTGCTACATACAGGTTTGGGGCAAGGGAGGATTTCCTGACCCGAGAGTCGGTAAGCTCTGGAAGGGTTATCTGAGGGATCACCTTCCGGAAAAGGGAGATCTTTTCAATAATAATAATACTAAAACAGATAAATGGCCAACTCTTCTGGGACAGGGTGAGAGCCAACCAGAGCAGGGGTGGAGGTGGGCGGGATGCAGGGAGGACTCGTGGAGGGTTAGGCAAATTTTCAAGCCCTATCTCTGACTTTCTTGTGATCTCTGGGACTTTGCTTTGTGGGCAGCTTCCAACCTACAGTATGGTCAATGTTCGGCCCTGCTTTCATTTTTATTTTGCAATTTCTGTGGGACCGGAAATGGATTACCTTAATTCAGCAGGGCCTGCGTGTTGCAGAACCACCAACCTAACAGACCCATTCGACTGTCGAAAATGACAAGTTGGCTGATGGTCCTGGGTGTAGCTAGCACTCTTCAGCCTTGATGACTGTGACATAGCGTCACTGTCCCCTTAGAGCCATTCACAGGAATCTTCCAATGGATAGGCACGTGATGGTTAGTCTATTTACTTGTCCCAAATCCCAACCCTCAAAACTGCTTCCCACCAGAGGAAGGAAAATGATTCTTTGACCCATCATAAGGCTTGCAGAAACAGGGCATACATTTTTTCCTCTCTGACCGGAGGCTTCTCTGTCCCCCTCCGCTCCCTCCCTCAGGATATAAATGGATCTCTCTCTGGTCACAGGCCCTTGTTCCTGCTGAGTCACAGTGACCACAGCCTCCCTGGACGGAAAACCTGCTGGCGGAGCCAGTGCTGCCAGCTTCAGACGCTCTGGTGGCTTTAGTGGCCACCACATCACAGGAGCACCCCCTTCTTCCCATAGTAACCCCTGTCCCCTCCCTGTCCTCATAATAAGGCAGCCAACACTGCTGCCCCAAGTGCAGTGATGAGAGTATGGGGGACGAGGAGGCAGCGAATGAGTGTCTGTAGCGGGAGTCCCCAGAACAGCCTCTGCCAGGGGAGCCTCCGTCAATGCTCCCCTTTGGAGACAGTGGAAGCGGAAACGGACGGATCAACAAACCGTGGTTATATCACGTGGCTGCTGTATCAAAAGCCATCGCACGTTACTCTACGTACTTCTAGAGGATTTGAAAACGTTCGAACAAAATGATCCCTCTGTCTGTTACATAATTTGAGCTATCAAAACACGTTTTTAAAAAAGAAATGTAAGACACAAGTGGTGCCTGTTAAGAGGTGATGAGGACAAGTCCCCTGCACAGAGTCCTTCGAGGACTGATTTCAGCAGTCAGTGCTCTGCGCCTAGCGTCAGGGGACACACCACGAAGCTGTCTACACTGAGCAGCGCCCTCAGCAGAGGTCCTCAAAGCCCACTGTTTGGACTGGGCGATGCTGGGGACGTACCAGGCTTTTGCCAGCCCACTTTCCTGGGCTTGAGACCCGGTAGCCGAGACAGAGGAAGGGCAGGTAGCACACGTCCTGCGTTCCACCCTCCCTTCCTGGTCACAGCCATCCGCCGCTGGCTCAGCACAACCCTTGCACCGGACCTGGAGGCAGCTGCTGACCGTGGCGTGGTGTGGCAGGAAGGGAGGACAGGCAGCTGAGTGGGCAGGACCCAGGTGGCCTGAGGGGGGACATTGGTCTGTCTCCCTCAGGCTGATGGTAACAGAGAGACAGCAACTATTTCACAAAGACACCGTTAGAGCAGAAAAATGATTACTGAAAAGTCACCTCCCTGTGGAGAATCTTTAAAGAACAAGGTGAAGAAGCAGATTAGCTCACGGGACAGGAGACTGGAAGGTTCTTGCTGCTGACAGTGGCAGCCGTGAAAGGGTTTTTGCCTTCTGAGCTGCTGCTAGCTTTTGGGGGTCTGTGGCTGGCTGTCACAAGGACCACCGCCAAAGGGAGTTCCTTTTGGTGGGCCCATGAGCTGTGCTCAGGCCAGGGCCACGGATGAGGACAACATGCACTGGAGGATATAGTCGGGGTCATGGACAAGGATGCATGCAACTTAGTTTATCCACCAGATGGAAGATACCACTCAAGTCCAAGCCCCCGCCTAAGTCGTGTCTGGGAATCAGACCTACGTTAATAGAAATTACAGCCCCCATTAAGAGGGAATGCTTCACTACGTGCCAGGCTCTTTCCACATCCGTGTCCAACCAGCACCTGTGGAAACCATGACTAGCCCCATTTTACAGAATAGGAAACCAAGGCTCAGGACAGCCAAGGAACCCGCCTATGGCTCCAAGCAGCTGAAGCCAGGTCCAGCCTTCAACCAGGCTGCCTCAAAGCCAGACGTCTAACCCCTTACTGTCAGGCTCGGCCATCTCTGCTTCCCACCCCTTCCTGGTGGCCCTTCCCTTAGGGGCACTGCCTGCCAGTTTCACCCAGCAAAGATGGACTTTTCATGGAAAAACAGAACTGATCTGAACAGGGCACCACTGCTGACATTTCACCAAACTCCGCTTCTATCCCACGGTTTCCTAACTACAGGCTGCCACTGAAGAGTCGTGACCAGCATTTTTCAAAAATGAAATACAGTAGAACGGGAATGAATAGAACGCACTGTGTTCAAAGAGGGTATCATTTCATGAGCTTTTGTTTCAGGTGTGCGGGCGTCCCTCTACTGGGTCGTGATGCAAATTGAAATGTATTTCCTTACTGTGGGTGGAGTCAAAAAAGACTGTTCTAAGACTTCTTCCCCTCAGTCCCTCCTACCCATCTCCGGATCAGTGCAAGTACCATAACCACAGCTCTTTTGGCAAGAACTAGTTTTAGATCGCCAAGTTTTATCCAAAACTCATGAAAGGGAAAGCTTATTCCTACTGTATACAAAGGAGTTGGGCTCTATCCAGCAGGTGCACAAGGAAAACAGGTGGAAACAGATCTAGGTGCAAGACTCAGCTCTAGTTGTGGCAAGCACATTCCTTCCTAAACCCTATTTTTTTTCCCCCACCCTCAAAATGTAAGGAGATTCCAGACTCTAATGATCTCTAAGTTCCAATATTCTGTGATTCCAAGTAACCAGGATCCACTTACTTGCTGGTCGGTTTTGCCGGCTCCAAAGCTGCAGTTGCCTAAAATCTGCATTTCTATCTTCGGAAGAAAATTTCCTAAGAGACATGCCGATGAATGTTGACCTGTTTTTCCTATGTCCGACTGAATGTATGAACTGAATGTCTTGAACGTATCTCCTATCGAATGTAATTCCATAACAGATTTCTTTCTAATTTCAACCCGTTTTCCCCACGTCCTTATTTAAGAATCTATTTCCTATTCTTAAATCTCATTTTCTCATCTTAATTTTAAGACTTCAAAGTCTAAAAGAAAAAAAGGGAGCATGATTCTCACTCAGCTTACGGGAGGAATCAATCCGTCTACTGTTCAACTCCACGTGCTTTTCTTGTTCTCACACACCCCCACACCAGGGAGGCAATTTTCAAAGTTTCATGGAAACGATGACCTCTGGTCACAAGCTCTCCGCTGTACCCACCCCACCCCTGCGGGAGATAATGTATGTATAAGTGCTTTACAAAGCACAGATTGATGTAGTGCTGATAAAATCGTCATAATCGGACTCTTAATGGATCTGTGATGGGAAGGCTGTCTTTTGGTGACGACTGTCGGCATGCATCTTCATGGGGCTGCCACTTTTCTCCATTACGCTCTCAACACTCAGAATAGCACCTGTTCCCAGACAGGGCTCATGGCCTTGCCCTTGCCCAGCAAGGAAGTCTGGGGTTGTCTGAAGGTCATTCGCCTTTGGGAACGTCACTTTACGTGAGTGCTGACTTAGTAAGCGCCCATATAAATGCTGAGTAGTATTTAAAATCTACCTAACTGGGCTTCTCACCTTGGGACTCTGCACACAGCGACACCTGTACCTTCTCGCCAGCTGGCTGACACCTAACGCCGTGCTGAGGGCTAGGTTTGGTTGGCAGTTTCTTCCCCGTCGTTCTGTGCGATCTGCTATGTTCAGCAAAGTGGCTTCCTCCAGAGAGGGAACTTTCCTTCCTGCCATGCTTCCTCTGTTAGCCGGCAACTGCCTCCCAGTAAGGAAATCGGCTCTCTGCTTTCAGATGCTCTGATTTTTTAAAAGAATTTCTTGGCTACTTAAAATGACCAGAGCCTTTCTCTCTTGCTCACTCGTCTGTGCAGCATGTTGGTGGGTGCAGCCCACCTCTCCTTTAAACACCCAGGACAAGCCCACAGAGACTGCCATGGTCTCCTTAGCGATCAAGTTCGCATTCTCAATTTACACTTCCTCCCTGTCTTTAGTTACTGTTGTGGCTCGGAAACATGCAACTCGAATGATGCCAAGAGTAGTAAGTTTGCTTCATTCATTGTAATTATTTAACGAATTACAACAGAAGTTGGAAATTATCTTTAAGGTCTACCATTTAATAACTCTAACACTCCCAATTCTTAACTGTCATGGGCATTGTGTTACATTTGTGAACAGAAAAGCTAGTCATTGTCCCTTTGGATAGAAAAGGTACGTAACCTTGGCATCCCGCAAGGCTATGCCATTTGATGCCACTGACCTGGAGAACTGCAGATAAAGGCATAGAGATAGCAAAGATGGGGGTAGAGAGAAATGACAGAAGACAGCCTTAGTGTCTTCTACAGAGAGGGTGACATCAGCGGCTGTATGGTCAGGCCGTGGCTACTGGGTACTACAGAGTACTTGAGTTCCAACCTGCAGGGAGCAATCAAAATATCCAGGTGACTCTTGCAATTTCTCAAAACTGCTCCAGGACAGCTTTTAAATCAGGACTTGAATAAGAACTGACATAGATCATGGGCTGAGGCGAATTTTAGACAGAAGAAAAAGAAGATCGTGTGGTCATATCTGAAATCTCTTTGCGCATCAGACTGATTTGTTATTTGGGGATACTGGGGGTAAAGAATGACTTTTATTAGGGTAAGTAAATGCTCTTTTCGTTTGTTCCTAATGACCAGGGACATCGAAATCTCTAATCCAAGGAAGTAGGAAAGTCAGAAAAAGGGATTTCAAGGAAATGTGTACTGTGATAAAATCTGAAAAGCTGAAATTTCTAAACTGACCCTAAAAATGCCTTTAAAGATTTTAAATTAAATGAGTTTAAAAAAAAAATTACCCCAGTGGGAATCTTTTACTAGCAAAAAGACAGAAAATATTGTAGGAGTTTAGTTATTGCTTTGAGCAAATCCTGGGTAATATTAGAAAATGTAATTAGGCCAAGCAGCACTTCATTGGTATAAGTAAAGTTTACTCCTGTCTTTGTGAATTCTCGCTGGTGGAATCAGTTCTTAACTATCTGCACTGAGTAACCAATCGCTCCTCAACGTAGCAGAAACAGGAAGACTGAATTTTTAATGCAATGAATTAGTAGAATTAGGTAGCTTTGGCTGGGAAAGATGATACCACTTTCCAAAATAATCTGTTGTTTTTACTGTCCGCCCTCCACCCCCCAGGATGGCAGACACTGACCATCGGGACACTTCTGCTGGCTTCCTGTCCTGCCCACTTACAGGCACCAGCACACAAAAAATAAAGGCCCTGGTTCCCCGGCTGGAAAATAAAATGAACAACTCCAGTGGAAACCGAATTATGCAACCCTTAATTCAGGCATTTATGAAAGATAATCTAAGGGGCTTTTTTCTTCCCTTGCTTCTCAATATTCCCTTTTAGGTCTCTGCTCCACAGCCCCCTCCCAGGAAACCACATTTCTTGTGCTGCCCTGGCTTCTGGGCAGGGAAGGGAGCCATGGGGACTTAGGAGACACCTTGCTTTCCTGCCCCTGAATGCCTCTTCCTGCAGCGCGGTGGGAGGAGATACTGGCTTTTTCTTTCTGCCCTCTCTAGGGATGACAAATTAGAGGGCTCAGAGGAGAAAGAGGAACTGGGCTGAACATGCCCTCTGCGTAGCACACGTGTCAAGATCGGCTAAGCGAAACAGACTGTGGCCCAGGTACCCTAGAAGATGTTAGCCACCACTGCAGAACACGCCGAAGAACCCCCCCACCTCTGTGAATTTGAGGCGCTTGCTTCCAAGGGCAGGCTCCCATTGCTTGTGAAAATGCAGCTGAACTTCTGGCTACTGGCGGCGGGGGATGGGAGGCCGTTTCTGGAGAGAGAGAAGCTAAACCCGCAGCCCAGGCCTAGACGCCGGTGTCAGAGTTCGTCCCCTCTGAGACACAGAGGGCGGTCCTCCCTGCCCGCATCGGGGCAGGCAAGAGGCAGTGCGGGCCTCCGGAGGAAACAACCCTTACAATACTCTTTTTTCCGTTGGCCAGGCACCTCGCCACCCACCAGGGACTGTCATTTTACCCCGAGGTTGCCTGTCCTAGCCGGGCACTTGCCTCGCTCTCGCCCTCAATCTCCATCGCTGAGCGGCTCAGAATTGGTTGGGCTCCGGGTGTCGCCGGACCGGCTACAAGAGGGATAGTGAGGTGCCCAGAGACCTGGGGGTAAACCTTTAAAATAATGCCTCCCTCCCCAAGAGCTAGGCCTAAGCGTCTGAGCCCCCGGAAGCCCAAGGGTCGAGGTCCCGGAGCTGCCGTTCTAGGGCGGTCCCCTCCGGATTTCTTACAGGAAGGAAAACAAAACAAACCCAGACTCCACGTGGGGCCAGAGCCCGGCCTGAGCCCTACCGCGCTCTCGCGGTCCTGGGTTCGGAGGCCCGCGAAAGAAGGCGTGCGCTCCCACCCGGAATCGAGGGGTCCTCGCCGGCAGCGCGGCACGGAGGACAGCCCGGGCCACCCGCAGGGACTTGCGTCCCAGAGGAATTTCTCTCATCTCTCCCACCAGCGCCGCAAGCTCAAACAATAGCGCGATCGCCCACCCTGGCGGTCTACGCAGGACCTGGCAGCGCGCCTGCCGCGGGGCTCCTGGCACAGCTCGGCGTCCAGGGCGGGCGACGCCGGCCCTTCCCTGCGCCCCGCTCGCCCGGCTCAGGGCCGGGCCTTCCGGGACAAGCCCCTTCCTGGCATTTTCTCTTAGAGCGCTTTGGGGACAAGGGAGGAGGCCAGGGCTCAACTGGAGGTGTAAAGGGCGGTCCTCACGGAAAATGAAAGAAAAATCAGCAAAATCGCCTTAGCAGTTCAACCAAAGGACAACAGCAGCATTTCCCCAGCAGCTGACAGGTCAAATGGGCAGGAAACAACTGCCGAGAACAAAGCCCCCCGCTGTTCGGCGGGGGCAAACCCGGCTCGCCCGCACTGAGCAGTTTTGTTGTGCTTTTTGGAAGGCGCAGGCGGGGGAGGGAGAGGTTTCCGCCCCCTCCAGCTCCCTTCCTCCCGGGCGGACTAGTCCGAGAGAAAAGGAGGGAGGGGGTGAGGGGCGCCCGCGGGGACAGGGGCGGCTCTTTGATGGTGGGGGGGTCTGAACTGCCGCCCAGATTCGGAAGCGAGGACCCGACCCGCGCCAAAGAATGCGCGGAACGCGACGGCCGGAGGAGGCGGGGGCGGGGAGGGGGGGCGCAGCGCGGCAGGGGGCGCCCGACCCCACGCGCCCTACCCGCCCCCGGCCCCAGGGCGGCGGCTGACCCGGCCCGGCAGGTGCGGCGTCCCTCCAGTGACTCGGACAGCACGGGGGCCTGTCGGGGTTTCTGACTTCCAAATGTGACAAGACACCCGGTCGCCAAGAGTTTCGCCAGGTTCACTTAAATCAGGCACGCGCCGTCACCGGGTAGCTGCGAATCGGGTCTGAACAAAAGGTCGTCAATCCCCGGGTCCCGGATCTGCAGGGGGCAGAGGCGAAGTTCCGCCCGGCGCCCCGGGACACCCGGGCCTCCAGCCTCCCGCTCCCGGACCGGGGCTAGCCCGGGGCGGGGGACTGGCCACCTTCCAGTCGGAGCTCGAAGTTGGGCAGCAGGGGACGAGACACAGATGGCTCCACAAAATGTGTGCAACCCTATCCTCCGGTCTGCATTTATCAAGGGTTGGTTTTCAGACCAACCACCACGGCCGATTTCACCTCGGCGCCCACCAGCCTTCACCCCTTACCCACTTCTCGGGTTTTCCCGGTCGGACTCGGTGCAGGACCCTGGCACGCCAAACCAACAGGCCTCCCGCAGTACTTCGGAGCACTTCCCGGGACTCAAAGCCGGGCCACGCAGAGGAGCCAATTCACCCTCAGGGCCAGGACCGTTAGGGAGTGTAGATAAACGCGGAAGCGCCAGGACCCTGTGGAATTGCAGGTGACCGGGGGAACGCGCCCGCACTGTCCCCTAAGAGGACTTGGAGCTCGCACAGAAACGCACAAAACCTCGCAAACCCGTGTCCACCAAACACAAAGGGGCGCGCGGGGATCCCCGCAGCCACGAGCCACTCCGGGTACTCCCTCCCACGGCAATAAGGCTCTGGCCGCCAAGTACCCCAACGCCTACCCTCCAGCTCGCGCCCGGCGCCCGAGTTTACCTTTGAGCAGGCAGATGTCGGTGCGCTCGGCGTTGCGGCGCAGCGCCTGCACCACCAGCGATACGGTGCTGTCCTCGCGGAGGCTCTCAGCGCGCGGGCTGCGCTCGTCATAGACGATGACGGCCGAGTAGAGGCCGGAGCGCAGGCGGGCGCGCACCTCCTCCTCGGCGGGCAGGATCTGCTCCAGGCTCACGGAGCCCTTGGCCCGCCGCCGCACGATGGTGTTGCAGCGCACGTTGACCGAGCCTCGGATGTAGCCCGCGCTGTGCGCCAGGAACGGTCTGCAGTCTAGCAGCAGGCACTTGCCACCGCTCAGCAGCCCCAGGGCGCCGTGGCCGCCGCTGCCGCCCGCGCTGCCGCCGTTCTCGTCCCGGTTCATCAGCCTTTTGAGTACACTGCAGTCCATCTCCCGCAGCTCCTCCATCGTCACCATGGTCGCCGGGACCCGAGGCTGCTAGTCGCGCGAGGAAGCGAAGGGCACCCGGGCCAGCTAGGCTGCAGGAAGGGGCGGGCGCGGGCTAAGACGGGGAGCCTGCAGAAGTGGATGCAAACTTGGCCCCCAGGTGCTCCCGGGGGCGAGCCTCGTCTCCCCAGTCCCCTTCCTCCCGCAGCCTCGCTGTCACATAGCAATCGGAGCCGCCTTGGGCGCCAACGAGGACGGCGCGCGGCGCGGAGAGGGAGGCGGCGGTGGAGGGGAGTGTGTTTACGAGAGAGGACCACAGGCTCCCTTCCGTGGTGGCCTCTAATGTTTTGAGCCAGTTGTGTCGCTCCTGCGGCCACTGGCGCCGGCGCGGCCGATCCCTACGCACCGCCGGAGCTGTGCGCTCTGCTCAGCCAGAGTTCCCTCCTCGGCTTATAGATTTATTAATGCTCCTCCGCTCTCCCGGGGGAGGAGGACTCGGTACTACCTCGTCAGGCCCCGCCTCTTTCCATTCTCGGCCCCGCGCCCTCCCCGTCCCCCGCGCTGGCGCCCCGCCCCCGCCCGGGCCCCTCCCCCCGCCCCCGCGCGGGCGCTTGAATGGAGCGCAGGCTGCTCGCGCCCGATCACGGGACCCTGACGTCACAAAGAGCGGAGTAAACAGGGCGCCGGGTGCTCGCCGCCAGGCCCATTCATAAAACCGAGCCCGAGAGGAAGAGGGAGGCGGCCCGCGACCCGCCGGCGAGCGGCTGCGCCGGACTTTGTGAATGGAGCGCGGCGGCGCCTCTTGTCGTCAGCCCGGGCCCGCGCCACGCGCCTCCTGCCCGCCGCGGGGAGCCGTGTGGCCTCCCCAGCCCGCGACCCGGCGCGCGGCAAGTAGCCGGCCCAGAAGCCGGCCTCGCGGAGGCCAGGGCCCGGGGTCGCGGTCTCATCCCTGCGTGCCTCCGTGCCTCCCCGCCCAACAGTCCCACGGGGCTCTCCAGGTACCCGCGTGGAGAGGGGGACGCCGCACCGCTGCCCACCCGGCGGCGCCTGGGACCGCCTAGCCTCAGACTTCCCGAGCGCTTTCTGCCCGCGCGTTCGTTCATTAAAACTGCGATCTCTCAGACGTTCGCTTACGCATCAGCGGGATCGATTTTCATTCTAAGCCGTTAAATCGACTTTATAGCTTCCCGAGGAACGTGGGCAAACCCCAACTTAGAAGATGAAAGAGAAAGTGCTCCTGCCCAAAGCCCAGTAACAGGGGTGAGGTGTGGGGTTTGTTACTTTACGACCCAGAGGGAGGCATTAATTGCAGGAATGCTGTTCCTGTTGGGGAGAGCCGGCTGCTCTCCTGTCCGCGCTTACTAAAAGATGTTTATTTAACCCTGGTGGGGGAAGAAACGATGTTTTCCGCTTTGGAAAAAGCCCTCACTCCATCTTGCACACTTGCGAATGGTCTTCTCGGGAAATGACGGGGTCCGCATTTGGTGCAGAGCTAGACCCTGGAAACTGCACCCGCAAAGAATGACCTTTTGAAAAGACTTGATAAACTCTGGGGCCGATTCGGGTTTTCCTTGCATCCCTCCTTCCGGATCACGTAGCATTTCCCGCCCCCCACCGTGTGTCTCATGCATTTAATTTCCCAGGGGCCGCTTTGCGCTGGGGGTTTGTGCGCGCACGCGGTGGGGTCCTTACAGAGCCAAGAATTATTCGCCCGACATTTTGCCAAGTCTTGTTAGTGAGAATTAATCGCAGAGCGAGGGAATTGCAGGACTCGCTCGCAGTCTCGGTGGCAGCGGGATCGAATATTCCATTCCAGGTCGCGCGTGGAAGCCCGACCGAGGCAGCGAGGGCTGCGGAGCGCGCTCGTTTCCTCCCGCCCCAGCTCGGCCCTCCCCGCTCTCCTTCCCCTCTGCCTTTGTTCCTGGCGGAGCGGCTCCCCGAAGCTCTCACCTCCCGTCCCTAGGCTACCCCAGCACTCCCCGATCCGGGCTTGGCGGGGCCTCCACTTCGGAGACCTCCGATCGACGCTGGCCTTCCCCCGCGCCCCGAGTCCGGAGCACTGGTCCGGTGGGCTATGGGCACCGCATGCCCAAAGGGATCTTTCCTTTGGCCTTGGGCTCCAAAATGGCTCACTACCGCACTGCGTTGAGCCCGTCTCTGATTACAATTTAATATTTTATTCACCATGGATTTTTGCATCTTAAAAAAGTATTGCATTAAGATATTTTGATTACTGACTTTTTGGACACACACACTCTCGCCCCTTAAATTTTGGGCCCAAGGCGCGTGCTGTCCCTAAGAATCTCAGCCATGGAAGGGGCCACAGTTGGGGACTGACCGAGGTCGCCTTGCTCCCCCGGGCGCTGCAGGCGGGAGGTCAACGGTCAAAGGCGCGCGGCGCGGCCTCTCCAGTGGGGAGGAAAAAGGGGCCTGAGTCCAGTTTGCCATCCTGCTGAGGTGGCTGTGAGGCTGTCTAGTGGCTCACTCTCGCTAACACACCAGCAGTGCGCCCTGTGCAGGGAGCCCCTCCATGCCCCGACAGTCCCGGCTGATCCGCTTTCCCGGGCTGCTCTCCAATAGCTCGGAAACCCGACCCCTGCCAGGACCCAGGGCCAGAGCTCTCCCGGAGCAAGGAAACACCGATTCCTTTCACAAAGGCTTTGACAAGACATTTCTTAAAAGAGCCTCTCAGTCGGAGGCAGGTCCGGGCCAATTTCATGCGTGTCGCAGGAGCTGGGAGCCGTCCCTGGGCCACACTGGCCCCGCTCTGCCAGCCTTTGTCTGCCCTGCGCTGGGGGCGCCTCCCCGCCTGCCGGACCCGCGCCCAGCGCTCACGTGGCCGGTAAATAACATTCAAATCCGGAGGGAGGAAAAAGCCCACGGAACAAAGAGGCTGGCTTTCTGCACCTGACAGTAATCGCTGCTGGCGAAGCCGTAAATCCCGCAGGCAATTCACACGGAAGGGGGTGTGGGAGGGCGCGTGTGCGTGTGTGTGCCCGCGCCTGCGCGCCTGCTCCCCGGAGGGGCGCCCCCGACCCCGCAGCTCCTGTATTTAAGCCAAAAGCCACTTTAATTGCGAATGCAAAGACCTGATTTTTGAAAGAGACCGATTTTAAAAATCCCTTCCCCCAACTCAAGAATTAGCCTTCAGTTATGTGAATCTCAGCAAAGGAGGTTTAAATGACCGTATTGTATTTCTCCAAATATTATGTAAGCACCCTAGATATGTGTATATTTTTCACTGTTAAGTTTGTGGGCCATTTGGATCACAGTTACATGAATGCGATGTGAGGGCCACCCCATCCCCGTTACAGAGATAATGATAAAACTTCGTCTCCAGTTGGTCTCCGGGCTGTGGGTGGGACACACAGTCTGCACAGGAACCTCGTGAAACAGCATGTCGATAAGCAGATCTTGGAAAAAACGAAAGGCATTAGGGAGGAAGACATGGCTTGAATGTCATTTCAAAGTTAATTTAATTTACTGAGGCATTTCTGCAGGAATTGGGATGGGATTGCCCAAGGAGAGGTATTTTATTTATATTCAGCAGTAAACCTCGGGGTGAAAATACTTTTAAAAATTCACTGTGACATGTAAATCCAACTTCTCTTTCATCAGACAGTCCTTAGACCGACCTTATTAGTCACTGTCAGGCTCCCGCAAAACCCCTGCTCTTGTTTAAGAACATTTCTTTCCAATTAGGAAGTTGTGTGATCTGGGAATTTAAAGCCCAGAGTGGAATCTCCAGAGACAACTATAGCTTCTATTCCGGTTTTGATGCCAACCTCTGACTCACTGCCCTGTCCTAAAGTGCCTGAATAAAAATCGCCAGAAAAATCATTAATGAATTAATCAAGGTGGCCATGAAAACTGAAGTCCTGTGGATTTTCCTTTCCTGAGCAAAGAGGGAACCTTGCTTACCACTCTGAACTGGAACAGGAGTGATCCATTTTGCGTGGACCTCTTGACTAGTTCAGCAGATTGGGGAACTCGCTTCTGGTAGTGGGAATGCTCCAAAGAACTGGGAACCAGCTCAGGCTCCTCAAAGCAGAGAAGTCTGTGTCTACACAGTGTCTTCTTAGGCAACATTTATAAAAGGAATTGAAAGATGACAGTCCTTCTCTGCCCACTCCTGCCCATCAGGTCTGGAATCAAAAGCAATGGCAAGTCTTCAACCTTTAGACTGAACAGCACCAGAAAACCTCAAAAACACAGCCTGAAGGTTTTGGGTTTTTGTTTGTTTGTTTGTTTGTTTAAGTCCTGACTTTGTCACAGATCTGTTCAGTAGCCTGCATTTATTTTCTATGTGTGATACTATAGCACTTACGAATGATTTTAAAGGCTAGGTTTCTAACCCAGGATCTCTACAGAAAGGTTTTAATGCATTGCTTTGTTTTCTACTGCATTTGAAAACTATGTAATCTAGGCTATGCCGCCATGTAGCTTAGTGGCCTTGGGCAAAACGGTTGGTCTCCCTTGGCCTCAATTTCTTCATCTGCAAAATGAAGAGTTTGGGCAGGATGGTTTCTCAGGTCTGATCTAGTCCCAACACCGTGTGATTCTGAGCGAGAAGCGCTCTTGTTAGCTCCAGGCCAGAGTGCCACCCGCCTTCTCATCTTGCCCTCCCCAAAGCCAAGCGCACTAAAACACCATCAGTTAAAGGACAATCTCTAGCTCCTGCCTGGCCCTCCTGTAGAATATAAAGTCATGAGGGGAGCAAAGTTCATAGTTTTTCTTTATTTGTTTAGTCAAGTGCTAATGTTCCCCAAGCATTTTGATAAAACTTCAAGTTTTCAAAAATAAATTTTGGAAACAAACACTTTTGCAAATGAGATAAAAATGGGCTCAGTCTGTTTGGGTCACTCTAGTTGTGCATATTTTCTTATTCATTCATTTATTCATGCATTCCACAAATACGCTTAACTCGGCAGGGGAAATAAATTTATGCAAAACCCTGACTGTGCCATCGAAGAGTTTACAGTCTCATCAGTCTAGTCAGGCCATGATTGCCACCGTAAGTTGCTATAGAGCAGGATCTAAAAAGTGTCATTAGAGAAGAACAAACAAAATGCTAGGAAGATTCAGAAGAGAAAGGAATCAAACTGTTGTGGGATTTGGGAAATGGGAGAAAAGGCCATCGTGAATAAAGTGCATTTCACCTACTTAAATGTTATCCTTGAAATGTTGTCCCTTTTCTTGTGGATCATTTTTTTTTTTTTTAACTGTTATCTCACCTCTGACATTCATTCTGCCCTTGTGCCTTGTATTCTTTTCCTTTCATTTGTTAGCGTCGCTCTTCCCCAGTGGGTTTGCCTGCTAAAAATAGACAAGCAATTGGTCTGAAACTACAAGGGAGCCGAGATGATGCAAAGGCACTGTAGAAAATCTGTGCCAACCTAGTTGCGAGATGACCCAGGTATGGGCCTGATTGTCACTTTCATTGTCCTCTGAAGCAAGTCAGTTGTTCTATACCTTCATTTCACCATC